TTCTGACTTTGAGAAAGTCGTTTAATTACCCGGAAATCTCTCATTTCCGGAAGTGCTCTGCACTCTGTGTTCTGGCTAACGGAGATATCACTGTATTTGTAACAGTATCGCTATTGTCTTGCATATGCCAAAGCCCACCTTGTCTGAGTGGTAAGTGGAAATATTACTGTATTGCCAAAATTTCAGTTTTTGTCTCAAACCTCTAATAGTCTCTTTCTCTTCCTAAGTATGTTTACAGTAATAATCTGCCATTGAAAAATACTTTGGAAAGATTTAAAAAAAACTAGCAAGGAAAAAATGTGTATTAACATTTCGGTGACTGCGGCCTTAACCACCACTTCTTTTTACTTTTTATTCTCTTACTCTGTTACTTTATTCATAATCTTTTTTTCTGATTACACCAACATCTTCCTCATGATGTACTCTCTCTTGCTATGTGCCTTTTATACTGACTGGTGCAATGATGGGGGTGCAGCATAAAGAGGAATCAACAGTAAACTCTTGCTTTTCACTTATACAGTCGGCCCTTAACATATGCTGGTTTATAATACACGGATTTGCAAATACGCGGATTGCCCCGCCAGAGGAATATTCTGTAGGTTGAAGTAATTGAAGTACATTCAAATCGCGCGCCATTCAACTCGCGTGCGGCACCGAACACGGGACACCGCCCGCTCCCGCAACCTCACACACACACACGCATAGCTCTCCCTCACTTAGTCAGTCTCGCTGTAACCACGCTTGTGTTGACATCAGCATTGTAGTTGCAAAAATATTACATTTCCGTGAATGTATTATATCAAGCACAGTATGAATAGAATATCACTAATATAAGAGTATTTTAACCGAAAACTACTAAAAAAACGAGTAACATATCTTGAACTTCGGAAGGTTAGGTAAAGTCTTTTGTTTTCATGTAGTTTATCCTAATTTACATTGAAATGCATTATGTTTCAGCAAAACTACTATTTATTTCTGAGAATATGGAAATGTAATATTTTGCTGAAATGACGTACGTATTACAGTGGAAAGTGACGAAAGCAATGACCCGCTTTCTTTTGTTCAAAAGATGTTACCGTAATCGCTTTTCGAATGGTTTTCAGTTGAAAAACTGTTGCATTACAATAATATTCTATCCTAATTCACTTGTGATGCAACAGTTTTTTTAACTGAAAACCATTCGAAAAGCGATTACGGTAACATCTTTTGAACGAAAGAAAGCGAAAGTCATTGTTTTCGTCACGATTTTATCCCACTTTCCACGTCATTTCAGCAAAAATATTACATTTCCGTGAATGTAGTATATCAAGCACAGTATGAATATAATATCATTGTAATATAACAGTATTTTAACCGAAAACTATTAAAAAAAACAGTAACATCTCTTGAACATTGGAAAGTTAGGTAAAGTCTTTTGTTTTCGTCATGTATTTTATCCTATTTTACATTGAAATACATAACATTTCAGCAAAACTACTATTTATTTCTGAGAATATACAGTATTCATTCAGGCACAGTTTAGGTAAAATATACATGTGCTGTAACATTTTTTTAATTGAAAACGATTCGAAAAACACGTACCCTCTAGCCCTGTTCAAGGAGAAGACTGGGAGGAGCTGTTTGGTGTTTAAGACGATGACAAGGAAAATGATTTTGATGGATTTTAATGAAAATATTCAGAAAGACCCTGGCACTGTCAAGGAAAGTGGCTGCTGAAGGCTTCCAGGACATGGCAGAGGACAAGATTAGGGAGCTAATTGAAGAGCACGACACTGAGCTGACCGAGGAGGATCTACAGGAGTTAGTAGACTCAGGCAAGGAAAAGGAAGCGAAAGGGAAAGAGGATGAGGAAGAGCACCAAGAAATAACGTTGGAGAAGTTGGGGGAGATGACCAGGAATATTGAGGCACTGAAAAACCTGGCCTATAGTATGGACCCCTCTATGGTGCGTGCCCTGAAATTCATGCGAGGGATGGATGACGTTTTCGCTCCATACAAAAACATCATGGAAGAAATGAAAGAAAGAGACGACAACTCCCCATCACCATGTTCTTTGATCACCGAAGGAGAGATTTAACACCATCAATCATTGGCGGCAGTGAGGAAGCAGCTGAATCCACCGTCGCCCCCAATTCACCACCCGTTATGGAATTGAGTGACGATGAGCCCGATGACCCCCGTCCTGTCGCCGAGGATAGGTACTGTACAGTAAAGTGAAATTTTTATCTCCTTTTTTTTTTAATAGCTTTTCTTGCCATGTTTATTGTTTGTAAAAATGCACAGCACAGTACAGTTCAGTACTGTACATAGCAAGTGGAGGTGCAGTTATTCACAAAACATTTGTGTTTGTTGTCGGCAGTAGTGACAGTGAGGAGGTGGAGGAGGCAGAGGGGGTGGAGGAGGCAGAGGAGGTGGAGGAGGTGGAGGAGGCAGAGGAGGTGGAGGAGGGAGTGAGTTGGGAGGAGTGGTGACCTTGGACGCGGGAGCAGGGACGAGTGGAGATGCCAGCCAGTACATTACGGGTGTATTAATTGTTTTTATAGCTATTTTTGCATTTTAATATTAAATATTGTACATTACGTTTCAACAAAACTACCATTTATTTCTGAGAACATGGAAATGTACTATTTTTGCTGAAATGATGTACGTATTACAGTGGAAAGTGACGAAAGCAATGACTTTCGCTTTCTTTCGTTCAAAAGATGTTACCGTAATCGCTTTTCGAATGGTTTTCAGTTGTGGGATTATAAGGCTAATGATAGGATAGAATATTATTGTAATACAGTACGAGTACAACAGTTTTTTAACTGAAAACCATTCGAAAAGCGATTACGGTAAAATCTTTTGAATAACGAAAGAAAGCGAAAGTCATTGTTTTCATGATTTTATCCCACTTTCCACTGTAATATGTACGTCATTCCAGCAAAAATATTATATTTCCATATTTATTTCTGAGAATACCTATATTCATTCAGTCACAGTTAAGGTAAAATATACTTGTGATGTAATATTTTAATGAAAATACGGTATCGTAGTTTTCTTTTGTTTCAAATTTAATTAACAAAGATTGATGTTTCAAATGTAATGAACAAAAATTTATGCACAGTATCTATAAATAAACTTTAATAAATGAATACTTTGTTTTACATCGTCCTGTGCTACCATACCATGGATTTGGCTACTTTGGGCTTGCTATGATGACGCAAGAGATCTGCCCTGGTAACTGTACCGACACTCACAGCTGGTGGTGCGTTGGTGCATCGTTTCCATTGTTTACTGGTAGTTACTGGTAAATATTTTTCAACCTGACGAAACTATTACCCGTTTAGAGGTCGACCCCCAATTTTTTGCCAAATAATTTGGTCTTAAAAACTTGAACTACACACAGGTATATACGGTAAATAAGGACATGGGGGCAGCAAAAATACGCGGATTTTTAACATCCACGGGTATCTCTGTTACGTAACCCCAGCGTATGTTAAGGGCCGACTGTACTCTCCAAAATGGCTTTTATTTATTAATATATGTATATATTTTTTTTATGGTTATGTGATTTCTCAGCCTTCATTTTTGTAGAAAGGCATCATTTGAATAAATATTTGACAATATATTAGCCTCAAATAGCACTCGGGAAAAAATATCTCTGCAATTTCTGGTCATTCTGCGGGCTCCAGACAGCAAGTGATAGGCGCATTAGATAAATTTCTGGCAATACCGAGAGTGTTAAGAAGAAAATTATCCAAATTATGGAAACTAAAAGATAAGCGGTTGGTTAGTAGGAACTTAATGGTGGGAATCACTGTACTGTTAGCACCATGTCCAATGTGAGGGGTGTGGTGGCCAAGTGGATACAGCCTTTGCCTCCCATCCAAAGGGTTACTGGTTTGTACCCAGGGCATCCCCAATTTACCCAGCAGTGGTTGGGGAAGTCCATTACTTCATTCCTGCAGATTGGCTCCTAGTCATCGCCTTATTTTTACTCTCTTTTTAATGGAACTAAAAGACTACACTGATGGCCTGTATGGGGTTTGGAAGTTTTTAAGATTACCAGTTGCATCTTTTTCCATTACAGATAATTATTAATACATTGGGCAACCTTCCTTTAGGGTGTAATGTAATATTAGCAGTTGGAATACTGTACTGTACTTATTGCTACCATCACTGCCTGATTTAGCTGGTTTCAGTTATTGTAGCTGCATAGTGAAGGATGGCTGGCAATAAGTGAAGGGTTGGTGTAAAATCCTTTTATGACCAAGCCCAAAACTAGGTAGCTCAGAAACTCCTCATATGGGCTTTTGTTGAAGTCTCCCAGGAATGAATTGGAATTGAGGCTTGGAAGACCAGTACCAGTACTGTATGACTGACCTAAAATAAAGATTTCTGTTATGTTATACCTATATTCATTCGATTTCCACCCTCCATCATCTGTGAGAGAAATCCCTTTGTTGGTGATTACCTCTTTTAGGGTTAAAGTTACAGCACAGCACAGCAGGTTTACTAGTTGTTTAGATTAGTTCCAGCCAATATTATCAAGGTCTCCAGATCCTCAAATCACTGGCTTTGTGAATTTATAGTGCCTAGTTCTAGGCCTGGCCATATAAAGATATTTCAGGATCAGATCTTCATTTTTGTGTACTACTGTATAAAGAAGCTGTTCTTTGGCTATTTTCCTGTGACAGCCATAGTGTCTTGTGAAGTTTGATATTAAAGGTACAGCTGTCTGTGGCATCTGAATTTTTTCTACTCGCTTGAATTTTCAAGAGTTACTGGGTATTATTTTTAGTCTTACTGTTTAATTAAAGAAAAATTGCTTCATACTGTAGATGTAAAAATTAGAAAGCTCTTAAAATTTTCTTCTTGTAAAGACTTGTTAAATATAAGGTTGTAGAGTATACTGACAGGACTTCTTTTTTTTGTCCATGAGCTGATTTTAGTATCATACATGCTGGCAATCTCTTGTTATTTTGATAGTTCCTAATAACTTTGCAACATTATTTCAGACCAGAAGCAGAACAGAGGGGAATAAGCCAGCGGTATTAAGCACCCTGATAGGTTACTAGTGTTCCCCTGGCTTGCTGTGTGTTATTAATGGGGGTAGCTTACATCCTACACACACTTAACACCTTTCTTTCATATTATCTGGTTCACACAAGTACAAATGAAGTGAAAGATGTAGGGTACCAGTACATTACCAAATCACCACTGTTTCTTGGGGACAACATTCTTTAACCTTCAGCATGTTTACTCATACTTAATATGAATATTTTATATACAGTATAATCTACGCCCTACTATTTCCAAAATGTTGGAAAATTACCGAATTTGGTTTGTTTCTGGTCCCAAGCCTCTCAGATAATCAATATACCATTACAGTCAACCCTCGCTTTACGCGGTCCCACATTCCGCGTTTCCACGTTCATGCGGTACCCTGCCGAAACAGGAATGCTCACATTCCGCGGTGCGTGTACCCCTTTACGCGGAGAGCGGCTGGTGAGCCGCGCCATTTTTGGATACAAACCTCCCGCCCTCTCCCGCCATCCACCATGTTGTGTAAGCGGCGCGAGCATGGTGCGCACAAGGTCGCCCAGTCATCAAAACATTACCGAGTTCTTCACCTGCCACCCACCACAGCCGGCCCAAGTCAGTGATAGTGATAATTATAGTGAGGATATGGACTTATATGGACTTTGAGGGGTTTGACAAAGAGGCCCTGCAAGCCTCTGTGGTGGATAGTGATACAATTGATACAAGTGATACAGGTGAGGGCCAATAATCTGCAGAGGGCAGATTATAATCTGCCCTCTGCCTCGGAACCAACCGCCCATCCCCGTGTGCCCAGCCATCTTTTCTACTAATGTAAGTGTTAAAAAACCTAATATTATTGATATTTCTCTTAATTTTTAATTGTGTGTGCATACAATCATAAAGTTAAGATAATATTTTTGCTACAACATAGTTGTGTGTCGTCAAAAAGTGGAGTTTGGGGGTCGGCCCGGTCTCTATTTCAATTAATCCCATATGCTATGTTGTTCACTTTACGCATTTCTCACTTTCCGAGGTACCCTGTGGGTTGAATTAACTGCGTAAGGTGAGGGTTGACTGTACTGTGTACACATTTTAGTGGTATTAAGATGTTTCATAATCATCAGGAACACAATACATATACAAAGCTAAATTATTCTCTACAAAACCAAGATTGTTCAGCCAACCCCATATTATCTAAAATAGTACAACTAAGATGAGCTGGAATTGCCAAAATTATTTCTAAGAGGTAGAAATATTCAATATAGCTAAATAGGAGAAATGTTACTAACCTCTCTATGGTAATATAGTAGGTACCGGGTAAGTGGAGCCACAACACAACAACACACCAGCCACCTCTGTTATGTGATTGTGGGATTGTTTTTCAGTGTCAGTTAGTTGTGATATTCATTGCTGTAATACAGTTTGGATGGAATAAGGAAAATGCATGATGAACTTAACCCTGCACTTATTGAAGCTAAATGACCCATATTCTGGGGTTGGCTGATTTAAACCAAATGGCTTAAACAATTAAAAACATTGTCTTTCTTGTTTGGTTTTAGTCTATTCCTGTTTTGTTGGTTTTATTACTTACAGACGATTTGATGGAAAGGGCATGTGATATTATGATAGGGTGAACACAAAAGTACTCTGGGGGGGATTACAAGTGTATGGGGTGGGAGAAAGGCTGTTAACCCTTAGGCCCCGGGTGACGTTCCAGAACGCCCGCCTATTCCCGCCACTGTAATTATTTTGGAAAAGTTGATTTTTCTCAATTTATCCCGGCAGGGGGGGGGGGGGGCGCCAGCAGCACCCTAACCCAGGCTTGGGGGTTAAATGCATTAAAAACATTCTATGAAAAGAGCCACAGTAAGGGCAACTGTAAGAGTAAATGGGAAAGAAAAGGAAACATTTGAAGTAAATGTGGATGTTGGACAGGGATGTATTGTGTCCCCGTGGTGAACTGTTACACACTGGTGAAGGTGGTGATCATAAGCCTTCTTACAGGGCTGTACACATCTTAAACCCTGAGAGCCAAGTTCCCACTGCTCAGTTTAACTAATGTGTTCAGATCATGTATTATACGGGTTGAGGGGAACCAAGTTAACACTGCCCATCTCTCTCTCCAACTGAACTTAAATGAATTCTTTAAAATTTTCAATTGTAAAAGTAGAATTTATGAAGATGAACTTAAACATAGGTTTGCCATGAAGCAAGTAGGATGAGTTTGGATGACTGACCAAAGCTTGTGTTTTTCAAATTTGGCCTTTTAACAGTTTTTTGTTTTAGCTGGAAAAGAGTAGAAATGATTGCTAAATCATCCTGAATGTAATGTTTATGATTAATAACATATTAAAAAGATATAAAAAGGCTACAAATACTTTAAAGTTATTAAAACCTATTTTTTTAACAATGTTTTTTGCCAACTGTTTTTCAAGGTCACTTTTTGTGTTAATGTGTTATTCTGGATGTACTTAAGTATTACTTTATTACTTGTCCAAATGACATCTCAAAAATTTTAATTACTGTACAAGGGGGGCCCCCAATTCGCAGGGGATAGGTTCTCAAAATGGCTACGAATCGCTAAATCCGTGAATAACATTTGCTGGCCTGGGGGGGGGGGCTTTTGTACTTGTATACCCTCAAGTCCGGCTTTAATAAATAAAGCATGGACTTATACAGAAGAATTGTATTTTTCTGAGATGGACAGACTGTGTAGGTGAATTATAATAAAGGCCAGATGTGTCCCATTAGGTAATGCTGTAAGAGTAATTGCGAATTTTCCATAGTTGAAGTGGTTTCATGCCTGATGGACTTGATGACTGAGCATGGTGTGCACTATGAGTTGATGTGAAGTGTTTTGATTTAATAAGGAGGCTACAGATTCACTTTTGTGTACCTTGTGTGCACAGTGAGAATGTAAGCAAGTGTGGCACTGTGTGTTTGAGTGTTTCTGTTTATTGTATTAACTCTTTTCTTTCATTATCTATATATACTGTTCGAGCTTTGCACCTCTTTTCCCCTGTTATTTACCCTCTTTGAGGTTTATTTAGTCCTTGTTCAACTGCAAATAAAAGTGTTCAAGATTAAAGACAATAAATAGATTAATTGATAAAAAATTGGTAAATTTGCATTGTCACACCGTTCACTTTTAGCAAGTAAAAAATTTATTTTTCTAGTGTATTTGTCGATGGTAGTATTTCCTCCTAAAATCCTTGATACCCATATTATCAACAACCACATTACCATGGTCATATCTCACATGCTGCTCACCAAAAAATGTTGCCTTCATGTTCTGTAAACCTGTCTTCTTGCATCTTCGCGATTTATCGTACCTGCAAATCTTGAATGTTGGAATAGCATTCCTATTTCTTTGTAAACCTTGTTGAATATTATATTGGTTTCAGAAAAATCATAGTTGCCATTTTCTTATTTTGGGTGTTGGTAGCTTCTAATGCTTTTTAGGATAAATAAAAAGGATCTTTTCATATTTGCTCATGTAGCCATACCCTCAGGGAAATTATTTCTTGTAGGCTGTGTTTTAGTATATGTATAGTCCTGTGCCAGGCAGTTTTGCCTAACCTGGTTATGTGGCAACTTCTGAGACACTCATGAATACACATGTTGGAACTATACTGGGCCCATAGTTTAAGCGTTGCTCTATGGTTTCTTTAAAGGGTGCGTTTCATGCCTAGGTTGCCAGAGATGTCAGGAACAAACCACTGAATACCATTAATAGTTATTTCAACCTAAATTGAATGACGAGAACCAATGTATTTGTGAGCTCAGATGAAATACTTCCCCACACACACACGCCGTCTGCTAGATATCTTGATCATGTGAACAATCCATTCTGTGGCATGTTTATGTGCACATCCTCTTTGAACTACACCATGTATCGTTGATATGAGTTATCTTATGTGAGTGTCAGGAGGACAGGTATAAAAAATGCTGCATAAAGAGATACAGTACTTAATTTCAAGTCATAGTGGAGAGGGTTCCTGATAGGAAAGAGGGTTGGTGATGATTCCAGACAGCAGGGTGGTGGGAGGGAAGTGCTCAAGTCAACTTTTCCTCTCATTCCTACTTATCATCAGCATCATGTTTTATTGGTAAGCTTTTAGTATAATCAAGTGCCACATTTGAGATACTAACTTTACACATTACACAGGGAACTAAAGAAATTTGAAAGAGAATGGAAAACACGATGTGGAACACCCCGACTGATGGACGCACAAGCACACATAGTTTAAATGTTGCTATGTTTTAGAGTAACTTGATGCAAACGACACGGCACAGAAGACACCATGTTGTAAACCACATTTACGGCCTCCTTCTCAATGCTTCCAATTCAGCCAGGGTGTGCTGCAGGAGTTGCTGCCTGGTCCTTTCCTGCTGTGGCTCCCACAAATTAACCATGTTAGCCCATACAGTCTCGATGGGGTTCAGATCACAGGCTTTACTCAGCCAGTCCAGCAGCTGGATGTGGTTTCTGTGTTTGGTGAAGCACTGCATTACTCTGCTGATGGTGTGGATAGGGTACAGTGGTCCCTCGGTTAACGAGCACAATCCGTTCCAGCAGGTTGCTCGTTAACCGAAAAACTTGTTAACCGAAACCATTGTTTCAATGGGTTTTTGGGTAATTGGTTCCAGCTCACCGAAAATTGCCTAAATTCAACAAAAAAGGTAGAAAAGTACACTTACTTTGAGGTGTGTATGTAGAAGGCTCCTGGATGATGATGATGATGGGAATTAGAATGAGGGTGGAGGAGAAGGGAGAAGCGAAGGCATTGGGGTGGAAGAGAAGTCACCCCATGGCGCCATTTCACCCATAAAATTTTAGTTCTCTTGGTGTAATTCAAGATTATTTTCTTTAAATCAATACTGCACTACATTATATATTGTCAATATGTAAAATATATTTCAAAATGACCAATAAGTTGCTTGGAAACACAGAAAAAACGCGTTTAGTTGAAGAGAGTCTCAAGTAAGATGTTACCTCCACTGAAGACAGAAAGAGACTAACGCCTGTCTGGTGTGTAAACAGGCTGGATGGCACGCCAGAAACTAGTTTCTTTACCTTCAATTATGTTCAATAATTGTTAAAATGACTAAAAAAGTTAATATTAAACTTTTAAAATTATTGAATAGTATAAACTTCTTGATATTTACTAAAATAGTAAGGAATTTAAGCCCTAAAACCGATTACTGTATTGGCGGACTAATACTACAGCTGGTGGACCGCCAAATGCAAGCGAAAACATGTTGAAGTCGGCTCGTAAAAAACTGGTTAATCGAGGGATTGCTCGTTAACCGAAGTTAAGAATCTTATGGAAGGTAAATCGTTAACCGAGGCGCTCGTTAACCGAGGGACCACTGTATTTGGTTCTGAGATGAATTGAAATGGGAGATAAAATCATTTGTCATACAGTTCATATTATTGCAAATATTGTTTTATAACAATATAAATTGTATTATAGAAATGATCCATAACATTACATGTATTTAGGAAAAATAATACTTTATCTGCATGAAAATGATGTGCTTAGGGTAAGGAAGGGTGTATGCTCAGACTGTTGGCAGCATGATCATCTCTTCCAAAATTTCCAGATATTTCTGTGTGGTGAATCTGTCATTTATCTTTGCCAACTCGCCCGCACTGTTGAGGTTGATCTAGCCCCACATGTTTATGGTCACATGGCTTCTTGATAAACTTGCTGCCTGTCGTAACGGGTGTTGCATATCAGGTCTCCAGCAGTGAATGTGGCCGTGGTTGGTAGAGTTGAAAGTTTTCATCCGAGAAAATAACTTGCTCAGAAGTCCAAGTCCTTCCCCACATACTGCTCAGGGAACTGTAGTCTCCCAACCTGGTGTTGTTCTTTGAACCTTTCCTTGACAGCAGGGACCATGTGGTGAATCCCAATCCCATGGAGTCATTGCTTAACTGTCCTAGCAGAGACCTCAAAATGCAGCCATTCCGTTGTGCCTTCCGCATTGGTGAAAGGGTGGTTGCAAATGTCTTCCACAATCCTAGCGTTGTTTGCTGCTCTAGTCAGTCTAGGCCATCCTGATTTGGAAAAATCTGTTAAATTACCAGACTCTTCAAACCTGTGTAACCAACACCACATTTTCGATCTGGAGACTCCCATCTGTCTTGCGATCTCGCTGACACTTAACCCTCTGGGAAATATCATGGTGTTGGTGTCCCATGGTTGTAGTTGGTGGAATGACCGAGCGGTTGCTGTATGACCACTTCATAGTCTCGAATAAGTTAAAGTTGTGGTGAATGGCATGAACCGTCCCTAGAATCGTCATTTCCATATTACAATAAACTATCATGTGCAATATTATGAAACTGACATCATTAATAACATCACTAAAAGCAATAGGAGAGGGATAATTTACCCTCCACCGCCAATCTCCATTATGAACCTCTCTACTACTATTATAGTGCTTTATATAATAACTCCTCCTAGCACTTACATAAGAGAAATCTTATCATTGATAAGTGATGTTTAAAATGGAGGACCACATAGGCACGCTCTAGAATGGATTGTTCACCTAATTCAGGTGTTTAGCAGACACAGTATGTGTTCCTGTGTTACCTCTATTTTTTTTTTATTAAAAGTGTGTTTGCAACATATAAGTAATTTCTTTCTCCCAAGACATAATATTTTATATTCCTGTCATCATACTTACGTAATATGAGATGAAACAGTAACGGTTCACCACAAACATTTCATGTCCTTTTCTTTGTACTGTACATGGTTGTTTTACACGAATACAAGTATTACATAATTACATAAACCCAAAAAATGTGTTACAAAATTATTAAAACTAAAAAATATGGTGTGGTAGACATGTAAGATCGAGGAACAGTATTGTATTTTAGTTATATACTGACAGTGGCCATTGGTGAATTGTATAGTTCATAGAGGATATGCACAGAGAGACACCATATAATGGATTGTTCACATGTGTGTTCGTGCGTGTCACCGATGTTGCCACATAACCGGGTTTGGCAAAACTGCCTGGCACACGACTTTTGTCCGGGACTGTACATCCTTTCTTGAATCTGATATTATTAACAGTTTTGTGAAAGTATGTAGTTGGTAAATAATGATGTGTTGAGACTGAAAATTTGTGGGGTAAAATGAGAAGATTAGATTAAAAAGTAAATGTGATTGGTGCTGCTGGGAGTAGTTGGTTGTGGGATCCTGGGAATTAAGTGCAGGCAGACGGGAATACTGTATGCATTTAAAATTGGATTATGATGCCATTGAAGAAAATGCAGAAATTGTGATGAATTCTTTGGATTTAAGTAGTGTTAAGATTGTGCTGAAATTTCGGAAGGGGGATAAAATGCTGTTTTGGTATGTTACATCTACTCTGATGATATTACAGTACACCAGTACCAGGAAAGTTGGATTGTATTTTTGTGTGTCTCGATAGATACAAATATACTGTAGTGTTTTCATATTACTCTAAAGTATTTCTAAAATTTCCATGCCATAGTTACTTGTGGCTAATGATACTGAAGGAGTAGTTACACTCTACACATTTATTAATTTTAACTACTGTATGTGAAATTGTTAACTAAATTTTTTAGTTATGCATTTGTAGGTACTGTATAAATAATTCAGCTGGGTATTAGCCTCATTCTCTTCCCACCAATTAAGTCGGGGATCAGTGTATAAAGCCCGAAGAGTAAGAATGTACTGTATAACCTTTCTCTCTCTTCCTCTCAGTGATGAAGACTGCCAGTCACTACCAGAAAATGGTGGCAACCGATTCTTCTCAGCTGTGTTTCAAATGAGTCTCAAGAAAAAAAATGAGAAACCGGTTGACGGAAAGTTGAAGGCTAAAATGGCTTGGAGAAATGCAGTGATGAAGGTGGGTATATAACTGTCCATTTGGCACTGAGCATTGTTTCAGAGTTGAGATGACTCTGGAACTTTTTCAGTCTCATTTAAACATTGTAGGTTGTCATGCTGCCTTTGGGTATAGTACTGCAGTATTGGTTTTGGCTAACTTTCTGTCCAGCTCTGTTGTCTCTACTGTTATCTTGTGCAACAGTCGCTGAAGGTATACAGGTATTCCTTGGTTAACATGCATTTGCACAACAAGATTCTGTTTTTATGCTTTTCACAAAATATGGTCCATTTCCATTTTAATACTGTCAATAAACAAACACATTTGGGTTGTTTCCTGGACAAAGTCTTTTTGTGTCCCCAACTCCCTACTACAACATTGTACAGTATTAATTTCTACCCCAACCACCATTCACCTTACATGCACCTTGTATTGACTCACTAAACTTTGCTCTTCTCTTGTGATTTACCTGTAATATCCGTTGCAGCCATGAGTGCAAAGTGAGCATGAAGTGGCAGTAGTGCTTCTGTGGCCAGATTGGAGGAAATTTATTTTGAAACAATGGATTCTTGAGCATTATAACTGTTTCTCTGGTTATTTTTGTAAATTCTCACCACCTCTTTTAGGCTCGAGCTCTTGGGGACCCATGGGAGAAGTTCCATCTGAACGAATACAAGACAGAGAAGGCCAAACGTCATCGGTACAATGCTATGCGACAGAGCTGGGTGGTTGATGAAGTTATGATGAAGATGGAGGACCACTCCTTCAACCATGGAGCTATGAGGGAGTGTTTCCGCATGTATGTTGTTTCTCTTTAGTTTTATAAGAGTAATAATTTGTCTCAGTGTAAGTTTTGTTCATAAGTCTCCATCCACTTTTATTTTCCAGACATAAAGTTTGAAAAATAGTAGTTAATGTTTGATTTTTATTTATATAAACCACCTTATTGTACCTCTTTAGGTTAAACCCAGTACAGTATGTAATTGTCTCAATACACTAACTATGGTTGTGCTTCAAGTTTTTGTTATTATTGTAGTTTGGTGATTGAATAGTTTCTCAGACAACACTGCATAATTTTTGTATATTCCAACAGTGATTTTATGGCTAAGCATTCCTGTCATTCATAAACACAGCTGTTTCCTCAGTGTGCATCCCAATCATATTAATAGCCACTGTATGTAATTTTTGATAATGCCAATAACATTAGATGTTCATGCATAGTCAGCATCTGAACTGATTAATGAAGACAAATCCCTTAAGATTATGGATCTTTCACCAAGAAGACTGAACTTTGATATTGTTTTAATAAAGTTGTTTAGCAATATTGTTCAAGAATGAATATGTAAAGTCGTGTCGCATGTTATGCTGGGGTTACGTTCTGAAGAGGGCGAGTAAAGCCAAAACCGTGCATAATCGCCCCTTTAGGAGATTAACCTGCCAGGTCAACTCGATACAGTTTATTTCAGTCAAACCTGTCAAATACAACTAATCAATTTGCAAGAGGGAATTGAAGGCTCAGTGACATATCAGACATGAATACATTTACCGTACCTAATACTAGCACACAAATGAGTACATTATCTTAATAGTAACACAATATAAGATAGAGAATCTTGTCACTCTCTTGTTCACAATTCTTTTTAATACAGTAGCTAAGTCATTGATATTAAATGAAAGTAAACTAAGACATTTATAGAATATTACACTCAACAGGAAGAAACTCAGTAACTTCTCAAAGGATGACTGGGTGCGTGCACACAACTATGTGGCCAAACGCTACATGGATGAGGAAACTCCCAGGGAAACATACTTTGATGATGTTAAACTGCAGGTGAGTGTTATGGATGTATACTGTATGTGTTGAATGGTTTATTTAAACCTTTGGCTCATCCTTCTTTTAGAACTGCCCATGAGAGTATAGGAAGCCTTATGTTCCTCCCTAGCCTGGTCCATTCTCTTTTTATATAGATTTACCGTATATCACGGCCTATAAGGCGGCGGGGTGCATAAGACGCCCCCCCCAAATTTCCATTTAAAAAGTAGCTTTTGAGCTCTATTTGCTGTATAAGACCAGTACCCCAAATGTGACACTTACCCACTGACTCAGTAGTCCTTTACCAACCATCCTTGATTTTTTAAAATAAGGCCAATTCACTTCAAGTAATGTCATCAAATTATACCCGCTGGTGTAGTGTAAACACTAGTGACGTCACTGAAGCGTGGTGGGAGTGTTCCCTCGTCTCGGTGGTGTGACTATTTATACAACATGTGGTTCAACAGCAACCACCGTATTCTAATTGTGGTGTTTCATTAGGATTTGAGTGAAAAAGGTTACCAGTATGTACTTACTACATACATTTATTACACAAATATATATATATATATATATATATATATATATATATATATATATATATATATATATATATATATATATATATATATATATATATATATATATATATATATATATATATATATATATATATATATATATATATATATATATATATATATGTACAAAAAATGAATGTTCAATGAATTATTTATGGTGCATTAGGGTACTGGTCACTTCTGATGGGCTATAAATAGCTTGTTATCTCCCCTCCATCTCACCCTGAGCCAGACGGAAGGGTCTTGGTAAATAACATGTTTGCTTATTTTCCATTTACTTTAAATAGATTTACCGAATTATTTGTTTTATTTATTTATTTATAATATACTGTAATATATTAAACACACTGTAATTATTTTCTTTAATTTATAAACTGTTTTGCGACAAAGGAATGTTCTCCAGTAGTGTTTCATTAGGATTTGAGTGAAAAAATATTACGTACTTACACAATTGTTCCTCTTACTTTGACAACACAACATACATACAGTATATTATTTCTCAGTTTTGATCTTTTTTTAATTTTTGTATTTATTTATAGTTAGTTACTTAAAATAAGGCCAATTCACTTCAAGTAATGGCATCAAATATTACCAGCTGGTGTAGTGTAAACACTAGTGACGTCACTTGAGCGTCTGTAATTAACCATCGATAGTTTCAAGAATTAATGCACTCATTTACTGAATATTCTTTGTAAAACAATAAAATTTAAATCAATTACTTATAGGAGATAAATATTATTATGAGTAAATATACCGATACCGGTATGCATTACTGACCACCTCCACGGCTCCTCACTGGCAAATGGGGGGGGGGGCGTGGGGAGGGGTGTGTGATGATAGCTGTGTTTATTATAGGGGTATAAATCTCTTTTACGGTATGTTAGACAGGTTTATAATACATTTTTATTATTTTAATATACCGGTAATCTTAATTTGAATCCAGCTTGCCAAACGTAAGTTTCAGTATAAAATAATTAGTGGTAAGACCTTGTGAGTGGCTTACGATGTTTTCATCACCACTCTTGACACACTAAACCACAATATTTAAGAGGTAAGAATTTTAAACTTGGTGGTTTAGACGACCCCCTAACTTTGGGCAGATTTTTTTAATGTTCAAATTTCGTCTTATAGGCCGTGATATACGGTATATAATGAATTTATATTGAAAATAATTTAACAAATATATTTTACTGCACAGAGGGTCCCTGGGTTATGAACGGTTCTGTTCATGTGGACGTTCTTAAGTCGGATTTGTAAGTAAGTTGGAACACATGCTATGTGCGTACTGTACTTACAGAACAATGTTTAAAATCCCACTATATCATAGCTTAAGTCCTTATATACATCTAACATCACTTAATTTAATGAAAAAGAAGAAATAGAATGACATAATACAGTAAATAAAATACTTTAAATATCAAGTGTAATCCCATTCATATTGGCGGGCGTTTGTAAGTCAGGAACCCCCTGTATTAGTGCTTAGATGAAATATGACTGTATTTAACAGTTAATCACCTCCATAAGCTCATTGTGTTAGTTGTCACATCTTCCTGTAAGCATTGTCAGCTGCCACACCGAGTCTAGTCAGCAGTAGACAATGTTCCCAAATACAGTGGCCCCTCGGTTAACGAACTCAATCCGTTCCAGAAGGTCGTTCGTTAACCGAAACGTTCGTTAACCGAAACCATTGTTTCAATGGGTTTTTGGGTAATTGGTTCCAGCTCACCGAAAATTTCCTAAATTCAACAAAAATGGTAGAAAAGTTCACTTACTTTGAGGTGTGTATGTAGAAGGCTCCTGGATGATGATGATGATGATGGGATTTAGATGGGTGGAGGAGAGGAAGAAGAAGAAGGCATTGGGGTGGAAGAGAAGTCACCCCATGGTGCCATTTCACCCATAAAATTTTAGCTCTCTGGTTTAATTCAAGATTATTTTCTTTAAATCAATGCTGCACTGCATTATATATTGTCAATATATAAAATATATTTCAAAATGACCAATAATTTGCTTGGAAACACAGAAAAAAAGCATTTAGTTGAAGAGAGTCTCAAGCAAGATGTTACCTCCAGTGAAAACAGAGAGAGACTGACGCCTGTTTGCTGTGTTAAGAGGCTGGATGCGCGCATTAAACTAGTCACTTTACCTTCAATTTGTTCAATAATTGTTAAAATGACTAAAAAATTGAATATTAAACTTTTAAAATTATTGAATAGTATAAACTTCTTGATATTTACAAAAATAGTAAGGAATTTAAGCCCTAGAACCGATTAATGTATTGGCGGACTGATACTAAAGCTGGTTGCCCGGTCAGTGCAAGCGAAAACATGTTGAGGTCGGTTCGTAAGAAGTTCGTTAAGCGAATTTTTTTTCGTTAACCGAATTGAAGATCCTTATGGAAGGCAGTTCGTTAATCGAAATTACGTTAACCGAGGTGTTCGTTAAACGAGGGGTCACTGTACAGTACAGTATTGGGGAAAAAGCCGTCCGTTATTGGGAATGTCAGTTATTGAGAGGGTTAATCACAACAGTGAGGACATTCTGTATATCACCTGAGTTTTTTAATTTTATTTGTCCACCATTTATACTGTAGTATAGTCTAGACATATATGAGGTAACTGCAGACTGTTTAATGACAATAGATCCCTGATATAACATGATTACACTCAACACCTTCCATACAGCACATCATCCTAAATTACTTTTTTTTTTTTTTTTTTAATTTAATTCGGTCAAATTTGATTTTACGTGGAGCAAACCCAGGGCTCAGCCATGAAACAAGAACAAGAAATATGAAAGATGTCAGAACTCATGTTAAAAGTTGAGATTAACTCCAAACAAAGCTTTTGAGATTATTTTAAACATAAAAAAAATAAAATTACAAAAAATGATGAAACTTCCAAAAATATTTAGGTTTACTTCATCTTTTGTTCATTTTTGATATGTGCAATTTGAAATTTGTTGGAAAAGGGCTCATCTTGTGCTCACTAAATCGTTTAACTCTGAACCACATCATTCATATAGAATTTTTGGTGTTAATAAATCACAAGTTTAACTTCAAAATTTTTTTTAATGAACTCTCTTATTATTTTTATTAGGGAGTACCTGTACCGGTGTTTACCTGTACTAATCAAATAAGAATAATCACACCTTTCACATGGGTGAATATATATTGTACAGGATAAAATAATCCCCAGGCAAGGGGGAGTAATTGCCAGGGGTTTTCTCCTCTGTGTGTGTGTATGTGTGTGTGATAAATAATAACTGGAAAATCCTCTCACAAATATTCAGAAAAAATTTATTAAAAATGTGAGTCTGCCCTCAAGTCCGTGCTTTATTAATAAAGCACGGACTTGAGGGCAGACTGTCACATTTTTAATAAATTTTTTCTGATTATTTGTGAGAGGATTTTCCAATTATTATTTATTTATGTGTGTGTGTGTGTCTACACACACACACACACACAGTAATTACATGTAAAAGAAATAACTGTTCTTAGAGCAAACACATATAGGGAATATATATTTCTTTGTACACAAATAAAAATGTACTCCCCCCCCCCCCCACTCGTCAGTAAATGTTATTCGCGGATTTGGCGATTCGTTGCCATTTTGAGAACCTAACCCCCACAAACTTAGCGGAGCCTGTGCACTGTATATTGAGCAAAACATTTTCCAGGCACTGACATTTTGGCTATGATAGAAAAGGAAATTATTTGATTAAAACTTAAAAATTTCATCATTACACACATAGTATAAATTATATCCTACAGTGGTCTAACCATTACTTATAATGAACTAGGAAAGTTTTCCAATAAAATGATTTTACAGTAGTACCCCGATTTACGCGGTCAATTGAACCCACAGGGTACCGCGTTAAGTGAAATCCGCGTAAATGGAACAACAGAACATATGGGATTAATTCCAATAGAGACTGGCCCGACCCCCAAACTCTACTTTTTCCGACACAATACCTATGTTCTAGTAAAAATAACATCTTAATTTTATGATGGCACATGCATACAATTAATACTTAAGAGAAAAAGAGAAATACAGTCGCCAAGTTAATGTCCATTCAAATAATGGACTCAACTCCCTCCCCCTCTTCTCACACTACACTCGCTGGCTCTTCCCTCTCTGAGAAATTTTGGGGGGAAAACCACTAGATTTTAATAAATAATACCTCAAACTAAAGTTAGGATAATATAATTGACATTGCTGGATTCCTTGTAAGACCAGGAATATTTTGAATATAAATGTAATATATTTTGCACAAAAGATAACATATTTACTCAGAGTAAACATTATATCTAAAATTTGTATGTCTAATGCAAAATCTATGATGTTTATATTCAAAATGATCATCAAATTGTAAGAATTCCAGCAATGTAAATTATATTCTGGCCGGGTAATTTGTATGAATTTTATGAGCTAAAACAAATATCTTCAGTTAATTAAAAAAAAATATATTCTTCACACAATGCCAGATGGTCGGTCGGTCCCTCCCTACCAGATGTGTGGGAAAACCAGAATATTTACCTTTTTAGTAATAAATAATACCTTAAACTAAAGTTACGGTAATATAATTGACATTGCTGGATTCCTTGTAAGACTAGGAATATTTTGAATATAAATGTCATATATTTTGCACAAAAGATAATATATTTACTCAGAGTAAACATTATATCTAAAATTTGTATGTAATGCAAAATCTATGATGTTTATATTCAAAATGATCATCATATTGTAAGAATTCCAGCAATGTAAATTATATTCTGGCCGGGTAATTTGTATGAATTTTATGAGCTAAATAAAAAAAATAAAAAATATTATACTTCACCGCGTATATGAGTAGATGAACCGCGTTAAGTGAAAGTTCGGTTCTGGCGAGGCACCGCTTATATGAGAAATCGCGTTAAGTGAAATCGCGTAAAGCGGGATAATACTGTACTGTATTCATGAATACTTTACTCTTTTCAGATGGATGCCAAGTTGTGGGGAGAAGAATACAACAGACACAACCCACCGAAGAAGGTATAGTACGTTGTTAGTATAGTGAACCCTTGCCATTCATGAGGGTTAGGTTCCAAGAAATGGCGCAAATTTGAAAAACCACAAATATCAATTTATATACCTTATATACTTGTGTATAGTTCGAGTTTTAGGCAAAAAATTGGGGGTCGTCCTATACATGCGTAATAGTTTTGTTAGGTTGAACCCGTGCATGATGGGAAGGGCGAGGAGCAACTTTTAGCTTCAGACATGAAAAATATTTACCATTTACTGCCAGTAAACAATGGAAACGTAAAATATGTACCAATTAATAATGAAAAGTTGTGCAGTTCCTTCAGTAAATGAAGTTCACCAACTTACAATAGGCTAAATTACCTTACAACGTGCTTTCAGTAGTCTATGTTGAAGTTCTTAGCACAGGCTAACTTATCATATCATATACGGTGTCACAGTTCTCATTGATCTACAAAAAATACCGGTACAGTATTAAAAACCTTTTCGATATTTCACACTTAATATAATACCCGGTAATCTACTTCAACCTCCTATTGTTTACAACGATGCATCACGCACCACCAGCTGTATCAGCTAGACGGTACACGTGTTTTTCGAATCGTTTTCAGTTAAAAAACTATTACATCACACGTATATTTTACCTAAACTGCGCCTGAATGAATATATTCTCGGAAATAAATAGTGGTTTTGCTGAAACCTGATGTATTTCAATGTAAAATAGGATAAAATACATGACGAAAACAAAAGAATTTACCTAAGCTTCTGTTCTTGAGATGTTACTCGTTTTTTTAATAGTTTTCGGTTAAAATTCTATTATATTACAATGATATTCTATTCATACTGTGCTTGATATAATACATTCACGGAAATGTAATATTTTTGCTGAAATTACGTGCGTATTACAATGGAAAGTGGGATAAAATCGTGACGAAAGCAATGACTTTCGCTTTCTTTCGTTCAAAAGATGTTACCGTAATCACTTTTCGAATGGTTTAGTTAAAAAACTGTTGTATGACAATAATATTCCCTCCTAATTGACTTGAATAAATACTTGAATGGAAATATACAATATTTTTGTTGAAACTACCCGTGTTTCAGTGTAAAGTGTCGTAATAATAAATGGTAAACAATTTGCCTTCGGCACTCGGCGTTTCATGCACGGCGAGCCTCAGTTTATAGGACGTAGAGCGTTTTTAGTGAAGGTTTTGTTGTTCCATTACCCTCAAAAACATGGGTCGAACTATAAACGAGGAATATTGTAAATTAACGATTTCTTGGTAAAAAAATCAGGGTCGACCTATAAACGAGGGGGGTTATAGACCACTATATACGGTAATACCTTAGTGTACTAATATATACCTATACTGTACTGTGTATGAGAAACTTAAGTCACCAATACTTACATTCGTATGTGGAAGTTTGGAGCTTGATGAAGTGGTGCACTGTACAATGGGAGACACCTGGTTACTGAAGCATAGGGAGATCACCAGGTGGTTGGTGGAGAGGAGTGCGACTGGGAGGAGGAGGGTGAAGCGGTGGTGGTAGTAGCTGGATATTTCTTGAAAAACATCGTGATTGGTAGTTGTTTCTTCTTTGCTTTGAGGTCTTTCAACATTTCCTGGTAGGGAAACAATACCTAGTTGATTCCTCGGACCATCTTAAGGCTCCGTTCCATGGAAGGGTTGTCATCAACAATGAAATCAGTTACCTGTTGAAATAGTTCACCAATATTGTCCAAGCTCCAACCTTCTTGTTGCAATTCCATAATTTCTTCCTCTTCATCTTCCTTTGCACTTTTAACCAACTTTTCCAAATCCTCTTCTGTCATTTCCTCTCCATGCCCATCAACCAGCTCTTCCACGTCTTCAGCAGCCATGTCCACCACCCAACTGACGTGCAACACTTACAATGTCATTCACATTCTTTACTATGGATGGAAATCCCTGGAAGTTATTCACACACTCAGGCCATAAGGTGTGCCAACAAGCATTCACTGTCTCTGGTTTGAGTTCGTTGAATACTTCACTGATGTTGGTAATGCAGTCCGCAATGCTGTACTCCTTCCAACACTTGCTAACATCAAGGTCAGGGTCTGCATTCATGGCAGTACAGATACGACCAAAAGAGCGTCGGGTGTAATATGTCTTTAAGGTGCGTATTACACCTTGATCGAGAGGCTGAATAAGAGCAGTGGCTAAACTGCAAACTTTCTGAGTGGCCTGGTGCATTGTCTATCAATAATAACACTTTGAATTCCATCTTCTTGGAAGACAGGCATTTTTCCACTTCCGGGACAGAGCATTTATGGAACCAATCCAGGAGTGCTTGCACAGTTACCCATGTCTTTTTGTTAGACTGTCAAAAAACTGGCAAAAGGATCTTGTTTTTCCCTTTAAATACCTTGAGTATGGTGATTGGTAAAGCAAGCCAGATTTGATCATGTGGCCAGCTGCATTGTCACAGAAGATGAGCGTCACTCTGTCCTTTGCTGCCTTGAACCCAGGGGCACGCCTCTCCTGCTTGTTTATGTATATTCTACCAGGCATTTTCTTCCAATATAGACTGGATTCATCAGCATTAAACACTTGCTCTGGTCTATAGCCTTTCTCTTCTATTATTTTCTATAACTTGGCTTGAAATGCGTGTACAGTTGTGTGGTCAACTGATGTGGTCTCCCCAGTCAGCTTCACATAATGGAGAGAGAATCTTTTCTTAAAATTCTCGAACCACCCTTTACTGGCACTAAAAGTTGGTTCGGTTGCTGCAGTAGCCCCTTCACCACCTGTTGACTCATAAAAAATTAGCATAAAGACTTTTAGCCTTCTCACGAATTATTGTATGTTGTTGTTGATCGGAACATTTTTATGGTGCTGGTCCTCAACCCAAATGTTCAGTGCTTTTTCAGTTTTCACTATGTTCTTGTCACGAACAAGCTGCACCACTTTAGCACTTGCAGGAGCACTCACTTGAACAGTATCACGAATTGCTTGTTCATTTTTCTTGATACTGCACTGTGGATTTGTTCACACCAAACAAACGACCAGCTGCGGCAACACTCATCCCCTCCTTTAATTTGTCTAATAATTCAACTTTCTTTGTCAGGGTCAATCACTGACTTTTGCCTTTTATGTTTCACTTCACTAGCATTGAGACCAGGTAGTCTTTTAGGGGCCATTTTCACAAAGAAACACTAAAGTTTTGAGAGTACGACACGAGATGCTAGGTCACAGGTACTGGGTGAGCTCGAACAGAGGGAGATTAGACGCTATGGGCACGTGGGGTGACTCGTTGCGGTGCGAGAAAAAGCTCGCAAGCTCGCCACCAGAGCCGCCAGCTGCTTACTGCGAATCTTCGAAATCGCGAATGGCATGGGTCTACTGTAACGAAAAAATCTTGAAAGTTAAGGCGAGTAAGCTGTTAGGTGATGAAATCACGAATTAGATAACAGTAGATTATATTTATTTATGTATTCCTGTAAATCTAAGTTTTCTTTTCATTTTTTTGCAGGTAGACATATTCCAAATGGCTGTCATTGAAATGGTGGAGAGAGATGGAAGCCCCTTGTTTCATCTTGAACACTTCATTGAAGGTCATTATGTCAAGTACAATTCCAACTCTGGTTTTGTGCGCTCAGAGGCTATTCGCATGACACCTCAGGCATTCTCCCATTTCACCTTTGAGAAGTATGTATTATAACCAATGAGAAATTTAGATGTACAGCTGGGGACAAAATTCCTTGGACACGTGGCAGTATCTGGCAGGTAACTACTTGAGGATCATTGAGTGAAGGGGATTGGAAATTTATCATATTTATTCAGATTTATTTTTGTATTGAGTGTTTTTTCTTATTTTGTGGTTCCAACAAATTACGTACCTGGAATGAAAAGCAGCGTTATGAAATGCACAAAACAATCATATAAGTGGGGTATGCTATAACGAATCTAATTGGTTCTAGAACCTTGTTCGTTATAGCATTCGTTCGTTATAGGATTAATCCGTTCCAGGCCCCCAAATACAACCACTTAACACTGAAAAATATAATATAAAATTGTAAAAATTGTAAAAAAAGTGCATAAATATGCATCTAAACCCCTGAAATAAAGAATATCATTAATATTTGTAATAAAAAAAACAATAGATTAGAAGAAAAAAATTTAAATAATGTTTGTTGTAGGAGTTTCGTTCGTTATAGAATTCTCAATTTTATAGGTAAAACCGTTCGTTATAGGAATATTCGTAGTAGGATCCGTTCGTTATAGCATACCCCACTGTATAATGTATGACCCGGAATTAGATGCCATATACTGTATTGCCAAGTGGTCAGGGAATATTGTCTGCAACTGTACACAACTCATATGAGTTATAAAGTGTTTTTGTAAACATTTTCAAAATAGTGTTGGAAAAGTGTAATACAGGATATTTCTGGTAAAAATTTTCTCATCAAAATATTAATTAAATACTTTAAATAGATTATTATAAGTTAAAATAAATAACTGGATTTAGAATGTACAATAAGTCAATAAGATAACATTAACCCAAGATGGTTTAGTTACTTAGTAGAGGCTGGCTGGGGTGGGGAGCTATTGAGTCGAAGCTACAGGATTGCCTGCCTCGTCATCTATGGATGGACATTTCCTCGTCTAATTGTTCAGTTCCTTGTGCCAGTTAATGCCATTTGTTTGCAGTTCAAAGTTTACTGTTGTTACCAAATAGGGCCCAGTTTCCGTCAGTCTTTCACCTCGTTCTGCATATTTTATGAAGTATAATTTTGTCTCCTGCATAAGTGTATGATGTTTCTATACTGCATCATCATCACCACTCTTTTCATTCTCAGATATTACTGGGAGTAAAAAATTATATATAAAAGTACATTAAAGTAGCAGAAAACAGAGTGAGGCACGTGTTAGTCACAACACAACAAAGGATGGTGACAAACACAATTTTTTACTTTGTTTTATTTGGATATTGTTTGTTAGTGTGCTTGTGTTCTTTGGTACCTGATTTTATCTTAGTCTTTTTATTTTTATTAATGACTTTTTTTGGCATCTTTATTTTATTCTAGAGACATTTTCTTCTTGTCTTTACAGGTCTGGACATAAACTAATTGTAGTGGACATCCAGGGTGTTGGTGATTTATACACAGATCCACAGATTCATACTAGCCATGGTGAGATGTGACTTTTTTATTACTTACACTGTTTACTGTTTGTAGATGAAGCATTATTACTTGGATTCTTTTATGTGATTCATCCTTTACAAATCCATTTTAAAGTCTCACATATTCCGACTTTGCAGAATTTTGATTGTTTTATTTTCGTCTCAGTCGAGTATTATTAGTACAGTACATATTTCTTTCACCTCTTACACTGTCTCACCATGGTATAAATCTTTGCCTCTTCTTATTTTTAGATTTTATACCTTTAGCTAATCAGCATTTTCTTAATCTTCCGTTTCTTATGTTTGTAGCATCTTGTTCATTCTTAACCTCACTTCTCAGTTTCTCCTTCCCTTGTTCCCTTCATCTCACACTATCTTTTATTCTTCATTTTTTTATTCATTATCCCAGAAAAGCAACCCTAAATATTAAAATCCACTTGTGTTAAAATCTAAGTACAGTACTGTAGTTATGTACAGGTATCCGTCGTTTAGTGATCGGGATGCATTCCTGAAAAACAGATTGCTAAGTGAATTGATTGCTTAACAGACAGAAACGAAAAATAATGTTGTAAACAAGGGATAACAGGAAATAATATCCATGGAGATGGCACGTAATTGTGTAGCCGAGTCACCGATTGACCAACTCGCCACCCAGTAGCACTCAGAGTGGGTGAGGCTGAGCTGTGAGCAATGTTATTGTTCAACTCATAATTTCTGGTAAAAATATGTAATTTTCTTAATTTTTTTTACTCTTTTACATGCACACACAAATGTTCAAACAGAATGTGCAAAAAATAAAAAATAAAATAATAATTATCATAAGGTCGGCAGTTTGCCGACGGAGCTGAGGAGGGGGAGAGGCAAGGGGTTCTTTCAGCTGTTTGCTGTTTTGTGCCAGACAGTGAAACGAGGGAAAAGACTTATAATTTGCTATAATATTAAACTACAGTACACTACAGTAAAGTAACACTCACCAAGTCCACATTAGATGCAAAGTCATCATGTGTCCTCTTCAAGGCTGGAGGATTACTGTTGCTAGGGCCGTCAATCACTTTCACCACTCTTGTGACACCCGATGTTAAGCTTCACCTCCAAGCTCAAGGACTTGGGGTGAGCTTGGCCTTCCCTGATGAGTAAGGCGAAACGGCAGTATTAAGTCCTCGCTTAACGTTGTGGTTGCGTTCCTGAAAACCGCAACGTTGACAGAATAAATTTTCCCCTTAAGAAATAGATAAAATACAAGAGTTATGTTCCCCATCCTCCCTTTACCCCATGAAATATATTACATATACAGAAATTCAATGGCATTTTCAAAGAAAATAGTACACTATATATTATAGATCCAAAAAGATAAATAAACTAAATCATTTTGTATTGCACTCACTGATGGGCGGAGGTGGTGGAGCGAGTGTGTGATCGGTAGTGGAGCAGAGGAGGAGGAGGGTGGCTCCTCCTCTCGGTTTAAAACCTCCATTTTCGTAGCAAGGCTAATGGTCTTACGTTGCTTCTTCATAACAATAGCATCAGTAGCACTTGATGGGCGCTTGGAAGCCATTTTGAATGGTTAGAATAAAGTACAATTATGAGCAAAAACACTTAAACACGCACCAACGCTTTGGTAGCTTAGCAAAGACCGGCGATGCCATGATGCTCCGCAGGTGAGAGCGTAGCGCTCCAAGATGAGAGGGGGTGATGCACTATACAAAGTCGTGCGTGACGAATTATACTGAATAGCGACATTATCGGGGGCAACGTTAAACGAGGACTTACTGTTCGATTACCTGACGTGATAAAGGTTTCAGAGATGTTGTTGATATTTATATGGAATAAGCTTTCTTATAATAAAAACTAATAAATTTTAACAAATAATTTTTTTCTCTATGTATAATTCAAGTCTGAGTATGTAAATAAATGTGTAACTTATATCACTCGGGATATGATGGTCCACCCTAGTAAAACCATTTTCTCAAGTACAGATCAAAATAATAAAAATTACAATACTCTAATGTGGCTTAGAAATGAAGAAAATATAATATGAAATTATAAAATAAGAAAACTGAAGTGTTTACATGTGGGAGGTGAACATATGTGTGAAGGCAGTGAGCACTGAGCTGTAACTGTGTCTCGACACATGCGTGGGCACACCCATACGTCTCGGAGTCAGCTGGTGACTACCCAGCTGATCTGTGTTCGATTATTTGTTTGTAAAGTAAATAATAGTAATAAGTAAATGTAACACTGCAAAGTGAGCTGACGGTGCGAGGGGTGAGCTGACGAGGTGAGGATAAACCAAGACATAAGGAGATACATTATACACTACAATAATGTTGATTAAGTTTTGATAAATAAGCTACAATATTATTTATTAAGTGCTCAAGACATCCTGTGGTAAGCACCAAGCCTCTTGAGCAGTGACAACAACGGTGCTGGAGAGATGGTGAGTGCTGGCAACAGTACAGGTAACCCCCGAGATACAATGAGGTTACATTCCTGAAAAATCCATCGCTAGGTGAAATATTGTAGATAGGGAGCATTATAACATGGGGTTTAATTGAATACATTCCCAGTCAGTCCCCAAACATATATTTATCACTAACAAAAATTTTTCTACAATACTACTATCAGTACAAAACACGTAAACAACACTCACCACATATTGGATAAGTCTGATCATCATCACATGTCCCCTTTGAGGCTAAGGGGACTCTTGTGGGTGGAGTGGAGACGTCACTCTGACTCCTACACAGCCTCTGGGGAATCTCATGCTGCTTAACAGTGCCAAGCTTCACCTCAGAGACATGGTTGTCTTGGATGCCTCGGCCTTCCCAGACATTTTCAAAGTTACACTGCTCACTTCAGTCACAAAAACAACAAAAGGACTTGTCACAAAAACAGAGTGAATGATGATAACAAAAACAATAATAGCGGCCAACACTGCTCACGTTCTCAAAACAACTGAGTTGACTCATTTTACGGTCACAAAAACACAGAAAATATCACTTCACAGTCACCATAACACAGTTCAATCTAAATCTTATGCTGTCCTCTCACTATGTAAGAAAAACAAAAAACACTGATGAGAAGTACAATGTACACTCAAGAGTCATAGTTTCGATGCACCCTCTACCCTTACTCCTGGCTCGAGGGAAGTCGTAGTCAGGGCTGCAAACCAAACGGACTGGTCCCACTAAACAATGAGTGGGGGACGTTCGGTATGAAGCCAAGGCTACGACTTCCTTCAAGTCAGGGGTAGAGGGTGCATCAAAACTATGGCGCGTGAGTGTACAATGCTGGCCAATAATCGTGGAGCCATGTGATGTCAGGGTTATGATCAACAAAGAATCAGACACAGCTGTAGTGAGTGGGTTGGCCGTCTGGGTAGGCTGACTAGTGAAGGTAGAGATGCACGGTGCATAGGGTTGTTTCCTTATAAAATGTCACTGACTTCACGTAGAAAAATATAACGTACATTGCTGGAATCCTTATAAGATGCTGATTGATTTGCATGTAAACAACCATAGTTTGCAATAGAGAAAAAAAAAATTCCGATCAATGGATATGGATGGCTATTTGATCGATATCGTTAAAGTTAATTGTTTTGATCATATATAGCGAGATGGTGTTAATTTATGACCATTGTTATAGTGAAATATCACATCTTGGGGGTTACCTGCATTAGTGAGAGCAGGGCCGATCAGCTGTTATCTCTCTGTAAACAAGAATATACTATGGCACAACAGCTCATGTATAAAATAATACAGTATAGTATTTCTTGTTTTCTTAGGTCATTTTGGGGTGTTTGGGTAAAAAAATAAAAAATAGATTTTTTGATGTGGGGGGGGGGCATGTATGTATGTATAAAATAATGTGACCTTTTATGGGTAAACCCGGCACCAAATGAACCTAAATAATATGAGAATGATGGTGAATTGCATACTGTTGTTATAAAAGGATCACTGGCTGCTGAGTTGTCCTTCCCTCCCTCCTCCAATGAAAACCCAGTTGCCACTATTTTATTTTGTTATTTCCACCTTTTTTATTTAGACTCGTAATTATATAATACTGGGTAGGTGGTGAATAGAAAATGAAATTCAGACGTACTGTAATTTTTTATTTACTTACATGTGACAATCACAGGCCTCTACTGCATAGCAAACAAGCTCTGGTGAGTTTCAGACATCACTTAAAAAAAAAATTCATACAGTACTTTTACACTTACAGTATTTACTATTTATTGTTTTCAAATACAGTACAGTATGATAGATATTATTCACTGAGGCAATTTTTATGAGCCAACACTTGACATATGCTGTCGGGTAAGGTGTAAATTTATTCGGTGTAATTTTACCATATATATTATGCTGTCACAATCCCAGCACTATAGTACACAATGTTGTGCTAATACTGAACCCAAAAGTGATGGAAAATTACTTATATTTACACTATTTACATGATTAGTGGGAATTTTAAAATTGTCAAGGATGTACAATACAGTATGCTGTAGATATACGCCCTAAACATGGTGTCTTTTACCTTAGCAGCTATTTAACTTTGCCCTAAACCCTGTACAGTAGGGATATTAAGTGACAGCACAGATGCCCAGTTGGAGCACAGATTCCCCATTTTTTCGACTTCGCTCCTTGAAATTTTCCCTTGGAGTTGAAGATTACTAAACCAAACAATTGCAGATAGTTAAGCAACAAAAGATGTTAAAAAATTTAAATCACTAAACCGAATTATCGCTAAGTGAACGATAGCTAAGCGACGGATACCTCAACTCTATTAATTTTATACACCACTATGAAGGTGGCCAAGCCATTAATTGTTACCCTTTTCCATCTGTCTATATGTCTGTACATACGACCTGACCTTTCTCAAACATCATTGGCAATTCATTAATTTCTTGCTCGTTTTCAGGTGTTAATTTTGTAGGCAGTTTGTAAAGTGAGGCATCTGTGTCTTTCAGATAGGTTTTTTTTACCCCTTGGTTACAAGGGGTCCCTCAGTACAGAATATAATCATCTAGTGTTAGCCAACTAATATGCTAAAAGTGGCATCCAGTAGTCAAGGGGTTCATACATTATAGTATAGGTTGTACCTCTCTAGTCCGGCAACCTCGGGACCTGACCGGTGCCGGACCATGGAAATTCACCCTTTTCCTGGATAGATAGTGACTTGTGCTTATGCTTGGAAGCACTAGCACCACATTCTCTGCATCATGGTCTCTTTGAAGACATATTGAAGGGCTAAATGTCGTATAGTAGCTTCTCAAATTTCGCGAGTTTTTAATTCTTAACATATTTTATTGGAACACACAAAAAAATAAATAAATAAATATTTTGACGGCGGAAACTTGTATTTCGACGGGTTTGAACGGCCCACCAACGTGCAGACGACGTGCATAATCGTGTAAACAGCGTCATTTCTCTTATGTACAAAAGATTCATTATTGTTTATAACTGAATGTCTGTTTTATTGAATTAATGTTTATGTGTGCAAAATGAGCAATACAATTTATTAATAATACGTAGAATATTAAAACACACGAGGAAATGACACAGCATTGTTTTCGTTGATTACAAAACCAGTGACTGACTGGTTCTACATATAAAACTGAAGAAAATAAGACCTTGGTTGTAGCTGTAGTAAAACTAATATGGTTGTTTTAAGTAATGTTATTTAATGTTAATAAATGGAACAATAGAAGTAGCTAACGATAATGGTAAAGAAAAAAGAGAGATCGCGTATGTAAGTGCGCATGCGCACACGTGAAAACATATCGTCATTACTTTACATAAGAATATGAAAGCAACACTTATTTACTGTTCATATATATTTTAATTAATGTTTATGAATTTGTTTTTATTGAATTAATGTTTGTGTGTGCAAAATTAACAATACAATTTATTAATAATACGTGGAATATTAGAGGAGACGAGACGGCTGCCGGCATTGTTTATGTTAAAGCTTACAAAACCAGTGACTGATTGGTTCTACATATAAAACTGAAGAAAATAAGACCCTGATTGTAGCTGTAGTAAAATTAATGTAAAAAAATGAATATGGTTGCTTGAAGTACCTGTAATGTTATTTAATGTTAATAAATGGAACAATATAAGTAGCTAACCATTAATGGTAAAAAAAAGTGAGACTGCGCGTATGTAAGTGCGCACATGTGAAGATATATCGTCATTACTCTACATAAGAATATGAAAGCAACACTTATTTACTGCTCATATATATTGAAGGGTTAAATGTTGTACTCTGTATAGACAAGCAGAGGGAGAGAGGGAGAGCAGCCGAACTGCCGGATGTAAACAAACCTTAATTTCCCGCAGCTTTGTTGTTTTTTTTTACGGAGATTAGCCCACCCGGGCATAGGTCACTGACCCACATTGGGGCCTGAGGAGCAAAAATTTAATACTCCTGTAATAATAATAATAATAATAATTCAGATAAGTTAAAAAAAAAAAGGCTGCCTATCTACCTATTGGACAAACTAAAATCGTTCCGGACCACAGAATGCCGGACTAGAGAGGTATATATTTGTAAAATCAGCAATCGTTCACCTACAATATACAGGTTATTGTATGTACATGTGACTAAAAAGAATATTATGGTATATATCGCAGTTGTTGGAATCATTTAAGTATTCAGTTAATTTTACCATTCTTTGATTAGGTGACGACTATGGTGATGGTAACTTGGGAACTCGTGGAATGGCATTGTTCCTGCACTCTCACCTGTGTAACTCCATTTGTCACAGCCTCAGCCTTACGCCATTTGACTTGGCTCCTTCTGAGAATGAAGTTATCAACAAGAATGTTGCCAATCTCCAGGTATGACTTTTTTTAAAGCTGAAACTTACTTATATGATATATCTTATAGCTTTTTTCTGATGCTAAGAAGGGTTAACTTAATTTTAGTCCATGTCATCCACTGGCCAGCTTGGGGAACACCACAATAAATTGGTATGGCTATGTGCTTGATACAGAAGAGATATATGGTGTATATTTTAACTGCACATCCCCAGTTATACTGGTTCATCATCATCACCACTTTATGGTCATATTCCATGGGTAAAAGTGATTACATGATGAAAGTTCTCTTGCAGCCTTTCTCATCAGGTTCTTATCTTTAAGGTCATTTCTCCCAACCTCTTCCCATGTCATTCTTGGCCTACCCTTAGCTCTTCTTTCACCTAGGTTTCCTCTTCTCCGCATTGAAACTCTTGCATCTCTTGACCCATTTGGTCTTCTCCATTCTCTCTTCATGCTCAAACCTTTTTTGCTGACCTCTTTACAGAATATCACCAACACCATAAGTCCTCTACAGGAATATCCTGGTTATTGCAAAGGACACGTTCATAAAAGTAATTCCGAATAACAAATTTGCGAATATCGGGGCAATTTCCCCGTAAGTATTAATCTAAATAGGGGGGATGAGTTCTCAGCTGGAAACTTTCACTACAGATTTTTCAATGTACAGTACAGTATTACCCCGCTTTACACGGTTTCACTTTCCACGATTTCTAATTTACACGGTACCTTGCCAGAACCAGACTTTCACTTTCCGCGGTGCATCTACTCATATACGCGGTGAAGTATAATTTTATTTTTATTTTTTTGTATTTAGCTCATAAAACTCATACAAATTACCCGGCCAGAATATAATTTACGTTGCTGGAATTCTTACAATATGATGATCATTTTGAATATAAACATCATGGATTTTGCATTAGACATACAAATTTTAGATCTAATGTAATAATTTGGTTTACACAAATCAAATATTTTATCGTTTGTGCAAAATATATGAAGTTTACATTCAAAATATTCCCTGACCTGCAAGGAATCCCGAAATGTCAATTATATTATCCTAACTTTAGTCTGAGCTATTATTTATTACTAAAAATGTAAATATACTATTTTCTCCCAAACGCTTCTCTGGTAGGGTGGGAGGGAGGGACCCAGCTAGGGCAGAGTATTTTGATTGACAGATAGTGTCCTTGAAGAATATTTCTTTGTTTATTTACTGAAGATATATGTTTCAGCTCATAAAATTCATACAAATTACCCGGCCAGAATATAATTTACATTGCGGGAATTCTTACAATATGATGATCATTTTGAATATAAACATCATGGATTTTGCATTAGACATACAAATTTTAGATCTAATGTAATAATTTGGTTTACACAAAGCAAATATTTTATCTTTTGTGCAAAATATATGAAGTTTACATTCAAAATATTCCCTGACCTGCAAGGAATCCAGAGATGTCAATTATATTATCCTAACTTTAGTCTGAGGTATTATTTATTACTAAACGTTAAAATCTAGAGTTTTTACCCACACACTTATCTGGTAGGGAGGGAAGGTGGGGGGGGAGGGTTGGGACCGGACCGACCCAGCTGGCGTGAGTGTGAGGAGGGGGGGAGGCAAGGTGGGGTACTTTGATTGACAGATAGTGTCTGAAGAATATTTTTTTTTTTTATTAACTGAAGATATTTGTTTTAGCTCATAAAATTCATACAAATTACTCGACCAGAATATAATTTACATTGCTGGAATTCTTACAATATGATGATCATTTTGAATATAAACTTCATAGATTTTGCATTAGACATACAAATTTTAGATCTAATGTAATAATTTGGTTTGCACAAAGCAAATATTTTATCTTTTGTGCAAAATATATGAAGTTTACATTCAAAATATTCCCTGACCTGCAAGGAATCCAGAAATGTCAATTATATTATCCTAATTTTAGTCTGAGGTATTATTTATTACTAAACGTTAAAATCTAGAGTTTTCACCCAAACATTAATCAGAGAGGTAGGAGCTAGTGAGCTGGGAAGAGTGGGGGGGGGTGGGATTTGAGTCCATTATTTGAATGGACATTAATTGTGTGAGCATACCATCATAAAATTTAGATGTTATTTTTACTACAACATAGGTATTGTGTCGGAAAAAGTGGAGTTTTGGGGTCGGGCCAGTCTCTATTGGAATTAATCCCAATGTTCTGTTGTTCACTTTACGCGGTTTTCACTTTCCACGGTACCCTGTGGGTTCAATTGACCGCGTAAATCGGGGTACTACTGTACAGTGAACCCTCGGAATATCCATACTAGAAGGTGGAACCAGGGCTGTGGAGTCGAAGACAAAACCTTCGACTCCGACTCCGACTCCTCAAATTTTTATGCTTCCGACTCCGACTCCTTGGCCTATTTGTAACAACTATTTCTACCATCCTAATTGTAATTTGTATGTTGTAACCTGCATAGGTAAAAAGTAAAACACTGTGGCTATACTGCTACAGCTTTATTAATGATCTGGACGATATTTAAGAACTACAAAAAGATGATAGGCTTGACCTTCAAAGTTTCAATCAAAAGAAAAATAAATTTATTAAGAATTCAAGATATTAACTAGAAAACACCATTTACATGTATATCTAAAAGTTCGATCTCAGCATATGAATTTTGTTTAAGCTCATAATCTGATGTGGATCTAAATGATGATCCTACAATTCCTTTTAAAGTAAAGTTATATATTTATGTACATTAAAGAAATGAATACCTTATTAAGGAAAATGGATAAACCTTACATGATTAAGTTATTAAATTAAATTTGCCTTAATCTCACCAAAAACAGGTTGTAGCTAATTGTTTTGTAGCTGAGAGCCTCTGTGCAGTTTTCAACAAAACAAAATTTGATATAATTCAAAATTTCAAATGGTAAAGAAGAGACTATCGTCCAAAATTATAGTGCTATACTGTGCCTGCTACAATAAATTCATAATAATGCTTATAAAATGGAAATAAATTCTTTTAATAATTTAAGAAAATTAGTGGGATCAGTGGAATCACTGCAATGAATATGCCTGAGTTCATATATTTGTTCTTAGGAACAGAATAGCTTCAGTCGGAGTCTGGACAATTTTACCGACTCCGACTCCACAAGCCGAAATTTCCTCCGACTCCTCGACTTCGACTCCGACTCCGACTCCACAGCCCTGGGTGGAACCACCTGTCCGAAAAAAGCAGATTATCTGTAACCTCCGGTGAATGTGCTAAATGTATAAAAATTATAAATAATGATACATAAAACACCAAAAATACAATACCGTATTTTATGGCATATAAGACGCACCTCTCATTTTAGCAGGGATTATTTAGGGAAAAATCTTTGTGTGTATTTTCCTGCTATAGCCATAGTTTTCTTAAAACAATATTCAGAAAGTCCCCATTGAATGAAAGGGTTAAGTTCCACTAAAACGCATTCTTTAGGTGGATTATATTCATCGAAACCATTTTCCCATATAAATTAATGTACTATGGGGGGGTTGTGTTCCTGTACTAAGCTCTGTGGCAGATTAGTACAGCCTCTCCTCGACTTACAACAACCCGGACATACGACCACCATGGTCGTATAAAATATTTTTCACATTATGTGTTTACGAGTCCCGACGTTTGGTTGTAATGTGACGCAGTATGACGGCGTGGGCTGGGCCGCCTCGTGGTGTACAGCAACCACGCCGTAGCCCGCTCAGTTGGTGTTTGGCTGTTGTTGTTGTTAGTGATTGCGCCGTGTACTGACAAAATTTTCATCTGTAATTCCCTTTAAAATGGCTGGCAAGCTTAAAAGTGAGAGTTCTCGTGGTGTTGAGAAGAAAAAGAGACAGTCAATTACTTTTGAGATGAAAATAATAATGCAATATGAAAATGGAAAAACGGTAGCAACCATTTCACGCGACCTTGGCTTCGCTCACTCGACGATAGCAACAATTTTGAAGGACAAGGAACGAATTCGTGAGGTAGTGAAAGGATCAGCACCTATAAAGGGAACAATAATAACGAAAAAAAGACAAAGTCCTCTTCATGAGATGGAGAAAATACTTGTGGTGTGGATGGAAGATCAGCTGCAAAAGCGTGTACCCATACCGTATATGGCGGCGAATAAGTCGACCTTTGAAGTCAAATTTTTAGTGTCCAAAGTTAGGGGGTCGACTTATACGATGGGTATAAAATGATGACCTCTGAAATCGTGACCGTAAGTAAGATTATTTTGTATTACAACCTTCATATTTACCTTTAATATAATTGCTCTATTTCTATTATGGATGAAATATAGTTTTTCTCAGTAGTTTTATTTAAACACCTTTTGTTATTGATGGCTCTGTGTGGACTGTTGTGGAATGAGCAGGAAGTCAACTGAGTTCAGTGTCGTTGTGATTGTTGGGTCACTCACTAATGACGTGTGTGACGTCATGTATAGAGTGGCTTGTTTGGCTGTTTACCTGTTTATGTATGTGTTTTGATGGTTGACTTGGTCCTTCACAACACTTGACAGCTACTGGAGTTGGGGGGTTGACTTGCACGCCAGGCCGACTTATATGCTGCCATATACGGTAAGCCTTCTAACCATACAGGCTAAGGCAAGAAGCCTTTTCGAAAGTCTGAAAGAGCAGGCAGGAGATGAGTGCCACCAAAACTTCACAGCAAGTCATGGGTGGTTCCAAAGGTTAAGAAACGTTACAATTTGCACAGTGTAGAGGTGAGTGGAGAGGCAGCAAGTGCTGATGTGGGTGCTGCTGAAGCTTTTAAGGAGGAGCTAGATCGTGTCATTGTGGAGGGAAATTATTTGCCTGAGCAAATATTTAATGTGGATGAAACTGGCTTATTCTGGAAGCGCATGCCTGAACGGACATACATCCACAAAGAGGCGAAAACAATGCCAGGATTCAAGGCATTCAAGGACCGAATTACACTTCTGTTGGGGGGAATGTAGCTGGTTTCAAGATAAAGCCCTTCACATTATATCATTCAGAGAACCC